TCGTGCTTTTTTCAATGGATCGAGACAAATGATCGAGCTTGAAGCTTTTGCACAAGTTTTTTGCGTCGTTTTGAACTTTCTTAAGGGCCACGTCTTTATGAACCCTAAAAGTAGACGAAATAGATTCATGAGCTTTTGAATTATACCTAGTCCGATCTAAAACCACAAAACCACCTTCCTTATCCGCGGGAACAAGTGTGAGCGAATGCTCCTTCATATACTTAACAGTTCTGAACAAGGAAAACTTTCCTGCTAAGGAACGGGAACGCATAAGTACATCCACACCTTCCGATACACACCTATCCGACTCGGCGTCAGGCACTTGCTTGGAAACTTGTCGCACCATTCCCAACAGTTCGGGAGCAGATTTCTTGGGTTCAACAGCGAACTTTGGCCCAAGTTCCAGTACCTCTCGAATGTTGTCTGGTAGCGTGGTGTTGCCGATGACTTTCACCTGGCTTTTCGGCACAGGGGTCTTCTTACGAAGGCTCTGCCTCAGGCCTGGCAAAACGTGATTCCATAGGAATTCCGTCGTGCGGTTGATGATCCGTGAAAAGTGAGCCCAAGCGTTTTCAGATCCTGTAGTCTTCAGGCGCAGTCTCAAGATATCTCTGTACATTCGCACTTGTCGATGCCATTCCGAGCGCATTAGTTTGCAGATCCGAATGCCGTGGCTGATTGAGGGCTGGCAGAACCCAAATAAAGCGAGAACTTCGGGTGGCAAAATTTTGTGACGGACACAGAAGCCGAGCATGCGAGCTCTACAAGCAGCTGTTACAAGGAGCGGGACTAGGCGGCAAGGTTCAACGAGGTACCACGAAGGAATGCCCGATGTACTAGAAATAAACATTGCCAAAACACGTTGGTGGGCTAGTTGGTTTGAATCCATTAAGAGTGAGTAAGCGCAAAACAGACAAGGACGTAGAAGAGACAGACACATACAGAGCGCTACTTTCAACTGATCTTTTATTTTCGCACGAACCGATAAATATATACCGAGCGAGCGGAAATAACATAAACATAAAGAACATATCGCGGAATCACATCGTAGAACCAAGCACGTGTAAATTGCACTACATAGTAAAAGTACAAGTCACTGTGTCGAATCAAGGTAATGAAGTTCTTTTTGAGAAAGCGATACTGATGGTTGGCTAACGCACATGTCAGATAATTTCGCGATTTCATATGCCTCCATAATCTCCCTTGTCATTTTGCCAGGAGCCTTAGATAGAATTTTAGTTTTTTCGAAGAGGGGTATACATCCACAATCTCGGCAATGGATGCCCAAATGGCCCGAGATTGCTTTCGTGACATTATAATGATGTTCTTTCAATCTCTGATTGATACATCGGCCAGTTTGACCAATATAGGTTCTTCCACAAGAAAGCAGAATAGCATAAACAACATTGCGAATGCAGTTCACAAAAATTGTTCGATGATTAATAAGGCAGGTGTTTGCACTGTTACACTGTGAATTAACGCGTCGACACAACCTATGTAGACGTTCGGGAGCTGAAAAGATCACATCCACTCCTGCCTTTCCCGCGATCCTTCTGAGATTATGCGATACACCATGCAAGTACGGAACGACGGCCACTTTTTTTGCTGTACGACCATTACTGCCTTTAGGTGGGTGTTTTAGCTTCCTGCTCAAACCCTCTGCGACAGAGCTCAGCACACAAATTGGGTAACCAGACTCTGCTAAGCGCTTGGCTTGGTTCAGAAAACTGCTTTCAACTTTGTGATTACAGGACTTCCTAAGAGAGTTATTAAAACAGGATTGTACAACGGCGCGTTTCACGAGCTTTGAATGGGCGGAGGAAAACGGCAGGACGGGCTTATTGCCCCTTGGCTCATAACTCCAACACACTTTCTCAGATGAAAAGTAGATACCTAAGTCCAAAAACCTAATGAAATTGCCCTCGGGCATTTCATGCGTCAAGACCAATGGAGAAAGGGTTTCCGTGAAAGTGGTTACAATTTTTGAAACCTCATTGTCGAAACTACATGAGTCATTGTTTAAAACAATTAAGAAATCGTCGACAAATCTAAACACACGTACAACATCAGGGTGATTTTTGAGGCGATCATAAAGGGCCTGGTCGTGATAGGCTAAGTACAAGTCACTTAAGCAAGGGGCAATACAAGAACCAATACAGATTCCATTCTTCTGTTTAACAACAGTACCATCCCATGAGGCGTAAGTGGAATTAACATACAAATAAAGAAGTTCCAAGAACTGATCGCAAGTCAAACCGGAGGCGTTTTGAAAACGTACTGATCCAAACTTGTCTATGCAACGGCCTACACATGTCATAAGGTCATCTTGAGGGAGAGAATAATAAAGATCCTTCAGATCAATAGAGAAGGCTAAAAAGTTTCTGTCATGATTGTTTTTAAAGAAATCCACGACATGTTCAGAGTTACTTACTAAAAATGGATCTTCGACTGGCAAAAGCTTCAAAAACTTCTTTAAAAATACTGCTACATGTTTCTGCCAGCTAGCGTTTTCCGACACTATCACACGGAACGGGAAACCCAGTTTGTGCGTTTTTGCTGAAAAAAATACATCAAGATGATGTATTTTTTTCTCAAAAAGAACTTCATTACCTTGATTCGACACAGTGACTTGTACTTTTACTATGTAGTGCAATTTACACGTGCTTGGTTCTACGATGTGATTCCGCGATATGTTCTTTATGTTTATGTTATTTCCGCTCGCTCGGTATATATTTATCGGTTCGTGCGAAAATAAAAGATCAGTTGAAAGTAGCGCTCTGTATGTGTCTGTCTCTTCTACGTCCTTGTCTGTTTTGCGCTTACTCACTCTTAATGGATTCAAACCAACTAGCCCACCAACGTGTTTTGGAAAGTTGAAAGGTGGAGACATGATAAAAAAATTGTCAGATCCCACGTACAGTGGGAATCAATTATATGCGAAGCACGAATAAGGAATGTCGATATGTCCCTGTAAAATCAGCACAATGTTACGAGGTGCAGGTAAATTATACCGTACATGACTTCCGTGTCATGATTATCATGTTTGGATGTGTCGTTTACCATCGTCATCTATTAACCTCACGTGATACCAAATTTAGTATATGTGGAGCTAGCGAAACGACCTCGAGCACACTATGAGCGTATTTAGTCATGTTCTTATATGACACGCGTGCCTGGATTATCATGTTTGCACCATTCACATATTTCGTCATCTATTGACGTCACGTAACACCACATTTGGTATTAGTGGAGCTAGCAAAACGGCCGCGAGCACATCATGAAGGGCGCAATATACTTCGATGTAGCGTTGACGCGCGCGCACGCTGGGCACAGCAACGCTACGATACCAAAACGCGAGAAATCTATAGTTTGACGCCAGGCGCGACTAGCATCCATCGGCGGGGCGCGACGGCAACCGGCGCGAAATGTGACATGCTGCATTTCGGCACTTCGCGCCGATGCGTTACCCAGACAACACTGCGTCTCCCTCTTTTCATGACGGAGGGACGCTGGACGTGGTGAAACGCGGATGCGTCAAAGCAATGCAGCGCGGCACGCGCCTGCGGCAGGACCGGCTCCTGGCGTGGCAACGCCGGCGTACCACAACAAAATGAATGCCGGCAAACACACGTGCCACGTCACGTCAAAATGTCTTGGTGCCTTGACTGGGGCACGTAGTCATGCTCTCACATGACATGCATCTCATCACATGACATGCATCTCTCATGTTTGCACCAGTCACATACCTTCTTCATCCATCGACGTCACGTAATACAAAATTTGGCATATGTGAAGCTAGCAAAACAGCCACGAGCGCATCATGAGCGTAGCATATAGTCATATTGTTACTTTGCACGCATCTCATGTTTATCTTGTTTGCACTGGTGTCATACCTTCGTCATCGATTCACGTCCCGTAATACCAAATTTGGCATAAGTGAAGCTAGCGAAACGGCCACCGGTGCTTCATGAACGTGGCATGTTGTCATGCTATTACATGACACGAATCTCATGATTATCATGTTTGCATCAGTCCCACACCTTCGTCATTCATTCGCTTACCATAATACCAAATTTGGTATATGTGACGCTAGCGAAACAACCGCGAGCGCATCATGAGCCTCGTATGTAGTCATGTGTTACATGACACAATTGTCATGATTTTCATGTTAGAATCTGTCGCTTGCATTCGCCATGCAATCATGTCATACCATACTAGTTTGGCAACATGTTAGTGAACGAAACCACCGCAACAGCTGCAGGACCATGAAATGTATATCATGACATTTATGACGTACGTGCCATAATTTTTATGTTATGACTAGCCAATTATGCTCTTAATACAGTCATGTTATGCCATACGAAGTTTGGTGTCGATACTTTTATCTAAACGGCCAGGAAAGCTAGAAGTCGTAGGCGGCTAGATAGATAGATAGATAGATAGATAGATAGATAAATATAGATAGATAGATAGATAGATAGATAGATAGATAGATAGATAGATAGATAGATAGATAGATAGATAGATACGCTCAATGTCGCCGAAGTTCGCTAAGAAATGCTTCGCGTTTAAAAAAAGGTTGAATAAGTACGCACCTTACATTGGTCTGAACAAGTATTTCTTTTGGATATGTCTTTCTAAAAACAGTAGTAACTGTAAGGGCCATTTCTGTTACAGCTACCATGTGATAAAGCAAAAGTGTTACAGTTGTAAGCTACACTAACCTAAAGGTAACTGACCACATTCACATAATATTGAATAAAAAACTGGTTTCCTGTAACACGTTATTTGTAACTAGTAACTGCATAAGACTGGGTGGGTGGCACGCTCATCTTCCGAAGTGAGGTCATAACTACCTAGGTGCTTGTTTGGGCTGTTGGTACTCTATCGAACTACCCCACTGAATTGGGTTTATGGGTGTCACATTCTGTTGTCTGTCGTCCCAGGCCATTGTGCTACATATCAGTTCAAAAGATATCATAACTAGCAGAAGGGCTAACCTGGGCCAGTGGAGCCATTATGTCGAACAGGTGAGAGCTCGGGGCTGCTGACAATCCGGTCGCGGCCACTGGTCTCCCATTCGTGTACAATCTCTGCAACAAGTGGGTAAGAAAGGCGGGCAAAAAAGACACTTTTTCTACCTCCAACATAGGAATTAGAATAACATGTAGGCATATTATGTGCTCACAGATGTACCTAATGTTTCCTTCATATTGATATAAGAGAAGCTTGCACAATCTCTGTTGGTGCTTGGCTGCCAAAGCACCACCTCACGTGCATGGACCCACGCGGACATTTGGTGTGGTGCGGCAGCTAGAAAGCGTCGCTGAATGGGTGTAGCACTCGAACTAAGATTGCCATCCCATTACATGTTAGAGCTATCGTACAGCACGGCTGGACTTTGCGACCTAATACGTCGCTCCGCGGAGTGATACTTCCTCTAAGCATAACAGACGAGATAATCGGTTGCCACTGTAATTCACTGCTTGCAGTAGTCGAAAAAACAAGGGCCCTAAAGGATATGAAAGTAGCTAACGTGGTTGCTTGGGCGACTTGTTACGACATGATTCATATAAAAAACAGCGCCAAAAACAAAGAACAAGAAAAGGATCATTTGTACTGAGCAATCACGGGTTGCAGTAGCTAATTTTGAAGGCCACCGTCTTGATGCAGTACTTCATTATATCACTCTCACACACTGACAACACCGTTCCCACCAACAGCTCTGCGAGAGCAAATTGTTAGGTAAGAAAAGGCGCATTTGTGAAGCCTCGAGACAATGTGTCCATGGTGAAACTGATAGTGTTCCCGCTAGCCGTTGTTCTAGACAGAGGGATCATCTGTTTTACTCCCGTTACGAAACCTTTGCTAACTGATTCCTATTGCAAAAGCCCGCCCACAGAGTACCAGCGTCCAGCGTCATGCCTGATTTCGGGTGCAGTATGGCGCTGGTACTGGGACGCTGGAGCGGCAGCGTCTTAGTAGAAGCACTGGGAGGCACTAGGTAATCTGCGAGAAATGGCTTCACAGGGTTAAAACGGGAGTGCGCGCTCACCATAAATAAACAAATATAGAGGTAAAAGAAGCAATATTGCGCACAATCACAATAAAAGAATAAAAAAAACACAAAAATAAAGTACCCTTTCACAGGAGTCCCCCTTGTCACCTTCGAATTCAATCCAAGTACTCTACCCACTAAGCCACACCAAAACGCTTCGGTTGCGTTGTAAAATGACTATTAATCCTAAGAGCACGCCGTTCGACGTTTACATGTTGTACAGTCATGATTGACGCGATATTCCTTTCCAAATAACAATTGCGCCTTGATTCGACAGTGGCGAATGGCTTCCAGGCACCGAATGACGGGGCCTCACCGTGGTGGTCTGGTGGCTAGGGCACTCGGCTGCTTCCATTGAGGCGGAAATGCTGTAGGCCCGTGTGCCCGGATTCGGGCGCACGTTAAAGAACCCCAGGTGGTCGAAATTTACCGAGCCCTCCACTACGGCGTCTCTCACAATCACGTGGTTGTTTTGGGACGTAAAATCCCACATATCAATCAAACCGAAGGACGTGTGGATATTGGCAAAAGTGCAAAGTTTTTCCAAGAATGTACAACTTGACTGAAAAATTTCAAATTTGCTGGAGGTGCAGGTATAGATGGTTGGCTGTTGCTGCCGATATTTTTTTTTTCTTTGATAGTAGATCCTCGCACTTGCTACTGATCAACATGTACAGATGATTTAAAATGACTTGTTCAGTACACACGTGCGCACACGATTGAAGACTGAGTATTTTTCTCGCACAAGCGACGATATAGAGTATACATCCGGCGTGCCAGTGTATGGATTTGCAGCTATATCGAAACCTGCAACCGAAAAACCACCAAAGAAAATACTAATGCCATCCACTGAAAAAGTGTGCCAGTGTGTTCGCTCACTAAGAAGTACCAAATTATCAAATGAAAATTGCGTCTTCTTACGTACGAGTCAGAGAAGCACCGGCTACTGCTCTCAGAAGGAGGCTTTCAGTGACAGCCTGCGTTGCTGAAAGCACGACACATCGATCGTCGTCGCTCCTTGTGCGGACACCGCACACGCGGAGAAATGATTGATTTAGGCTCAGAGATATCCAAACTGCATTTTACAGTCATTCTTACACTTTAGAATTGTGCCTACTTAAAGTAAAAAGCCCCGGCAGCAGGTACACCAATGCGGGCGGCACGATAGGCCTCGCAGGGACGGAGCACTGGGTAAGGCTGCTTTCGAAGCAGCCGAGTTGCGATGCTTGATGTTTCTGCATTTGAGCTTCGCAAACATTTATAACTGTTGCCTAAACAGTCCCTGAAATAAGTGGAAGGTTAATCATTGCCAACATGCATTTCCGGAGTAGCGATTTTGAGCGACAGCTATTTTTCTGGCCTCCTGTGGCAGTATACAGGGGGCGTGCCAGTGTAAAGATTTGAAGTTATATCAATACCAACAACTAAAAAAAAAACGCCCAAAGAAATACTATTGCAATCCACTGAAAACGTATGCCAGGGGGTCCGTTCACGAAGGCGTACAAAATTCACAACTGTAAACTGCGTGTTCTTCCATATCAGTCAGAGAAGTACTGGCTAAGTGCGGCCGGCAGCTTTCGGTGACAGTCTGCGTAGCTGAAAGCGTAACGCATCGATCGTCAGCGATCCTTGTGCGGACATTCACACAAGGACAAATAGTTGACTTAGGTTCATGGATGTCTAAGCTGTACTTTGCAGACATTCTCAAACTTTAAAATTGTGAGTACACGAAGCAAGAAGCACCAGTAACATATACACCAACGTGGTCGGACGATATATGTCTATATAGTGCTCGATAGGCCGGGTACTGGGTAAGACCGTTCGCGACGCGGGGAATTGGGATGGTTGAACTTTCTGCATTTGAGCTTCAGAACATTTCTAACTGCTACCTGAACTAAGTAGAAGGATAAGCATAGGTGCCCTAACGACAGCTGTTTCTCTCGCTTTCACTAGGGAACCTTGCGAAGTGATTGAGAGAGCTCATTTACATTTCGTCAACTTGGCGGCATAAAACAATTTCTCTTTCTGTACACGAAGCAAGAAAGTGGCGTCCTGCTCCAGGATTATAAACACTGCAACATGAAATCGTTACAGCAATACACGACTGATGCGAATAAGGCTGTTATACGAGGGGGCCAGTGAAAACGTGCAATATATGAAGCGATATGTACGGGCGCCGCAAAAATAACGTATGCTCGGGATCTGTTAAGGTAGCATCTCTTTATGCCGTCGAATGAAGCGTTTTCTATACAACGACAGCAAAACATACGACGGCACACACTACTTAAATGTGCACGCTGCGCTAGTAGAAACAGTGCGTGCTCTATTATTCACCAGCGCTTGACAGCGAAAATTCCAGCGCTTCCAGCGCTTCCCAGTCTGCACCAGCATCACAGCGGTTAATCCAGCGCCCCTACCAGTGCGACACAGATGTTTTTCAGTGCACCCAGTGAAGTGCCTGTAAATACCAGCGAGTACCAGTTTCTCCAGCATGTACCAGGGCTGAAAAACGTGCTGGCATCATGGGGATGCCATTTTTTGCAATAAGGATAATTTGCAGCGACTTCGACGCAACTTCCATGACAAAAATACGTCACTGAAATAACTGTGGACAAGGCATAGAGCACTTCTGGTGTAAAAATAATCATTATAGACTGCCTGCAACAATTTGCCTAAGTAGAAATGAATTGGAAGCACTAAGCCAGCGTATCCTAACGAATTCACGAACGCAAAATTTTTCAAACTGTGTCCATTACGGGGGGAGAAACAAATCCTTATCGTACTCTGCAGTTTCATTCTCTCGTCTGTACAAAGCCGCTGAAAGCTGAGCAAGAAGGAATGACACGGGCGAAGGAAATGCGTGACCTGCGTCTCGTTATCATAAAAACTTTTTCAATTTTTTTCCTTCGAATGCGCGGCTTTTGATGCGATCGCGCGCACACGTGCCGATAAGTCGTGGCCTCAGTTAGCATGAAGCGCGCTTTGCTGAAATGAGTTTGAGTTTGAGTTTAGTTTATTTACCCCGTACAGTTGTACAGTAAGTGGCTGGGACAGAGGAAAAAAGCTGCATAAAACAGCTTGACAAAGCCCCATATCCCCATGGCAACTGTGGCAACAAAAACGGCAAAATCAAATTTAAACACAAGACAGTTAAACCAATCAGCCAATTGCTGATACCTGGCTTCGAACATTGTGATTCTGAGCCTGTGGTGCCATTTGCCGAAAAAAAGCGATTTTTAGGTGATCTTGGCAACTTATTGTAAAGTCCAGGCCACGTGCTGCTATACTTGGTGCGTGTGTACTCGGGAGATTTGACTATTAATCAGCAGCTCTTTTTGGCCGTACTGAAAAAGTTTTGTAGCACCTCTTTAATTCTTACAGCCCCATATATAAGTCCCCGTCAAACGCAAATACACAAGATAAGCGCGAGACACATTCCACGTATGTCATGCTTTACTGCGAGAACGTCTCTCGCGTCTTACTGTAACATGATCCTAGATGTTTACGCATCGACTCTAAATTGGGGCAGTGTTTACTTCCGCACCACAACATGGTCTTGTAATGCCTGGATTTGTGCTCGCAATCACAATGGAGCACTCCAATGATGAAGAGGCATATGGCGACACGCAGTGGCTATATAAAGGAGACACAACTTCAGAAGACGGAGGCTTCAGCAAATAGATAATTAGAAACATGGGGTATCGCTGGAAACAGTGGTTAGAGAAATGCTATGAACGTCTTTCAGGCAATGATGGTCCGCTTAAGAGCTCAGAACATGCGCTGAAAGTAACAGCTGCTGCCTTGGAGATTTCAGGACCACTTGTCAAAACGCATCCTTCAATGGCGATGAAATCAATCTACTACAAGCTGCTTCAGTAATAAGAAAACTCAAGTAGTAAAAATTTCAGGTAATAAAAAACTGCCACTTTTAAGCCACCCACGTGCAAATGACGTCGTACCTTGGGCATCTCTGAGTATGAGAATTGTTCGTGCTCCATCTGCACAGAGCGCACGGTATAGTGTCTGTGGCTGGACTAGACAGTCTCCTCCATTGTTTCCATTCCGCAAACAGCTCGCATACAAAGCGGCCGTGGCGTGCATCAGTGCACCCTGGTCGTCATCGGCTGGTGTCGAAGACGGTGTCTGCATAAGTGAACATGGTAAAGTGATCACACAGCCTCCTCGTATTTCATAAAAACGACTCATGCAACTCAGTGTCATAAGCGAAAGGTCGATCTCGTTTTGCAGTAAGCTGCAAGGTTTTCCTTGTCATCAAGACAAAAAAAATCAATTTAAAGCACAGCAAATAAAAAGCCCGACGTTACAAAGACACAATGCAAAAAAAAAAAAAAAACTGCCAGATCCCACGTACAGTGGGAATCGATGATATGTGAAGCACCAGTAAGAAAGGTCACTTCTTGTCACTTTACCATCAGCACAGCGTTACGAGGTGGACGAACATAGTGCACAGTAAGTACATGTACAAATGTTATGCGCACTGACGTGCCTAAATAAGATAGAAAAATGTTGTTTATGGTCGTGTAACGACGCACCACTAACATTTGCAGTATTAGCACCACCAGCAGTAGTAGGCATTTAGAGCATGCCATACTCGACTTCATTGTAATGATTATCAAGTTTGCGCCTGGAATTTGTGTTCGTCGTTCGTTCACGTAATACAAAATATAGTATATGTGAAGCTAGCGAAACAACCGCCAGTGCACTATTAGCGTAGAATGTAGTCATGTCACACATGACACACGTGTCATGATTATCATGCTTTGACAAGTAATTTACATTGGTCATCTATTCAGGTCACGTAATATCAAACATGGTATGTGTGAAGTGAGCGAAACGGCCATGGGCACGCAAAGAGCACAGCATGTAGCTATGCTTTACATGACACGCGCATCATGACTATTTTCTTTAGACGAGTCATTCACCATCGCTGACCATTCACTTCACGTGACTCGAAATTTCGTAAATGCGAAACTAGCGAAACGGTCGCGAGCGCTACATGAATGTAGCATGTAGTTATCTTTTATATTAAAAGCAGGTCATGATAATATTTGGACGTGTTATTATTTCGTCGCCCATTCTCGTCACGCAATACGAAATTTCGCAGATGTGAATCTTGCGAAACGGCCACGAGTGCATCAAGAAAGTGGCATGTAGTCATGTTCTTGCATGACACACATATCATGATTATCAAGTTTCAACGTGTCATTTACCTTCGTCGTCTACTCACGCCACTTGATATCATAATTGGTATATGTGAAGCTAGCGAAATGATCGCAAACGCACCATGAGCGGGGTTTGTATCATGACATGACATGTATGTAATGATTTCCACGTTAGAGACTGTCAATTGTGTTCGCCATGCAGTCATGTCATACACTTTTACAATGTCGTGTAAACAAAACCACCACAAGAGCAGAAAGATCAAGAAATTTAAATGATGACATACATGTTTATTTATTTATTTATTGAGATACCTACAGCGCCTAACTGGGCATTATTGTAGGGGGGAAACAAACAGGAAAAGATACAGGAAGTATATACAACATAAAAAGGAACAAACATTATGTAAGAATGAAGGTAACAGCAGCACTTTAAACATAATTAACATTATAAAAAGACTAAACATCACGTTACAAAGAGGTTTATACAGGTTGTACAACACGAAAAAGCAACCAAAACATAATATTAAACTAAACTTTTAAACATAAATTAACTTTGTAGATACATAACCTCATAATAAAGACAGAGTAGAAAAGACAACTTGACAGAAACTGTAAATGGGGAGCTAAAGCTCAAATTGTCCCACATATGTCATGTAAAACCTAGTCAAACAAACATTCTGCGAGGGCTTCATCAAAGGAAGTCGGAAACGACCGTACAACTTCATTCGGGAGACAATTCCAGTCATGGGCTTTCCTAGAAAAAAAAGGACGTTTATATAGATTTACCCGACACCTATATTCCCTAACCTTCAGGGAATGGTCTACGCGGGCAGGTCTATAGGTAGGATCAAGTATATAGGTTTCTTTCCTTAAGCATGTTGCACCTATAAAAATTTTGTGGAACAGTTTCAGGCGCTTGTATTTCCGCCTGTCCTGGAAAGACGGCCATCCAAGATTGTCCCGTATGTCGAAAGAGCTTTTTCTGAAATCATAGTTCGATGACACAAATCATGCTGCACGCTTTTGGATGCGCTCTAATTCATCAATATATGTCTTTGTACCGGGGTCCCAAGCAGAACATTCATATTCTAATATAGTGCGAACATTTGAAAAGTAAAGAATTTTTTTTTAACTTAGGAGGGGCTTGCTTGAAGTTTTGCCTTAGGAAGTTGAGGACCCGACCAGCCTTGGCTGCTACGTAATCAACATGGTCATTCCAGGAAAAGTCATTTTTGTATAAAACCCCTAAATATTTGTAGCTGGGTACAATCGTGAGGCTTTCGCAATCAAGAGAGTATTTCGTATTTGAAGTATGACGTTTTGTAGAAAACTGGACAATGTTACATTTAGAAAAATTTAGCGTCATATTCCACGTATTGCACCATAGTAGTATCCTGTCGAGGTCACTTTGTAGTTGTACACTGTCATTCAAAGTATTAATTGTATGGTAAAGACAACAGTCATCGGCATACAATCTGAGACGGCTTGATACTTCTCCACCTATATCATTGATAACTATCAAAAAAAAAAGAAGAGGCCCGAGTACAGATCCCTAAGGAACACCTGACAAGACTGTTTTATGTGATGAGGTCGTTCCGTTAAGAACAAACAACACACTGTTTTCGGTCAGTAAGGTAAGCCTCAATCTACTGGAAAAGAGCCGTAAGAATATTAAGTGCAGACAGTTTTACAAGTAATAGATTGTGTGCTATCGATTCGAAGGCTTTTTGGAAGTCTAAGAAATTACAGTCCACCTGTTAGCCATTATTAATCGACAGAGCTATATCATGAGAAAACACAATCAATTGAGTGTCGCATGAGAGACCTCTCCTAAAACCATGCTGTGTGGGGTGAAAAAATTGTTTTTTTAGGGATGAGCCATTAGGTTACAGTAAATAATATGCTCTAGTACCTTGCATGAAACACTAGTTAGTGAAATAGGTCTGTAGTTTCGAATATAAGTGTTATTGCCACTTTTAAATATAGGAATTACATTAGCATTTTACCAGTCACGCGGTAAAGCACCGGAATCAAGTGACTTTTGATAGGGAATTGTTAGAAAAGGGGCAAACGATGAAGCACAATTCTTTAATACATAATTCGAAATGTGATCGGGTCCGGGGGCTGACTTCACATTCGCTTTTCGTAGTAGCGTTATTATCCCATGCTCGTAAAAGGATATATCACTCATTTGTGGTAAGTTCAAAACAATTTTCAGGCCACTGGCCTGGGGGATCGACTGTACGAATACAGATTCGAAGTAGTTACTGAACTTTTCAGCCTTTCCTTTAAGGTCACCGGCATAATTATTGCCATCTATAATATCTGGAATAGGATCCTTCGCCGTTCGCTTGGTTCTGACGTACTTTCAGACTTCTTTTGGGTTAGCTTTTATTTTTCGCCCATTGCATCTAGATACGCGCTTTCTGCCTAGCGCATTTCTTTCGCTATATTTTTACCGAGTTCCTTCATCTTGCTGAAAAGGTCTGGATTCGGCGATTTGCAGTATCTGCGATACAGGCGATGTCGTTTATTTATCAATGCACGAATATTTCTACTAACCCATGGTTTATCTGCCTGACGCTTAGATGTGATTACTCAAGACGAAACGAATGACTTTATGAGCGATAAAAGTTTGGTTTTCAATAGGTTCCATGCAGATTCTATGTCTAGAGCAGAAATGAGCTGTTTGATAAAAGACAGGAATTCGTCAAGCTCCTGTGATAGTGAGGCATAATCGGCTGTATCATATTGGAACACCTGTCTCGAAGGGGGATCATGGCAGCGCTTTAGAACACAAGATAGGTGTGCAAGAACAATTTCATGGTCGCTTGTACCGGGTAATAAATTAACAGAACTAACGAGAGTGCGTTCAGAACAAAACAACAAGTCTAGCACATTTGCACTATTTGGGGCTATTCTCATGGGAGTTCGTACAAATTGGAACAGGGAATGTGCATTAATCATTTCACAAAATGCAGAGTAAATAGGTAACGAAGTGGTTATTTTTGGCTGGTGTCAGAGCCAGTTAATATTTGGTAAGTTAAAATCTCCTCTAAGAATGGTATATGTTGCATCAAATGACAGTAGTATGTTATTTAGGTCGAATATACATTGAGGAGTATTGGAAGCAGGTGGTCTGTAAAATGATCCAAATGCTATCGAAGTGCCATCAGCTAGAGTGACCTTGCACCAGGCTGTCTCACATCTCGCACTTTCAACTTCAATACGACTACAACTCAGACTATTGTGAACCATGACGAAAACATCACCGCCACGTGAGTTACAGGTCCTTGCGGTACACTGTGTAATTTGATGGGAATATCTCGTTGTTAGTTATAGTGCAGTCCAACCAGGATTCAGTACCAATCACTACTTCAGGGATAACCAGATCTAACAGCGAATCAAACTTCTCTTTTTGTTTTATTACTACGACAGTTTATAACAATAACCTTCAAGTCGCTCACTTGGCGCAGTCGCTTTTCGGGAGCGTTTCGTGATGGCTATTGGTCCGCCCAGATTACAGAGTCACCCTTACTGTCACAGAATGATTATGATTATGATTTTCATGTTATGACTACTCAGTTATGCTCGTCTTACAGTGATGTAATGGTATACCAATTTTGGTATAGATACCGTTATCGAAACGGCCAGGAGATGTAAAATTCGTAGGCGGCTATATTTTTTATTTATTTATTTATTTATTACATACTGCAGTCCGTAGACCAAGCAGGAGGAAGAGATAGATAGATAGATAGATAGATAGATAGATAGATAGATAGATAGATAGATAGATAGATAGATAGATAGATAGATAGATAAATAGATAGATAGATAGATAGATACGATCAAAGTCGCCGAAGTTCGCTGAGAAATGCTTCGCATTTAAAAACTCGACTAGTGAAGATTCAGAAGAAGGCGTGACATTACCTTGTACATTTGAGTGTTCTGATCTTCACT